AAAAGTATCAATTCTTCTATGGTCTTCCTAATTCACTGTACAGCTTTCACATGCATATGAGGTTATTGAAAATACCATGGCTTGGGTCAGGCATACCTTAGTCCTCAAACTGACATCTTTGCTCTTCAACACTTTAAAAACGTCTTGTGCAGCAGATTTGCCTAATGCAATACGTCGTTTGATTTCTTGACTGCTGTTTCTGTGAGTGTTGATAGTTGATCCAAGAAGAACGAAGTCTTTGACACCCTACTTCCCAGAATATTCTAGAAAGTTTTCTCATCCTACAGCCCTTCTGTCTAGACTATAGTACGGCTATAAGAAAAATTATTTTGTGGTTAAGTGTACCCAAATCACCTATAAAAATGTTAGGAAGCTCCATAGTTGTGGGGTGGCCACTCAGGACCACGTGTGAGAGTTGCATGCTGGGTACTCAGTGCTACAAAGGATTGCTCTAGACAGGAATGTCTCAAAATTCCTCTTCTAGCATATCACCTTCCAGCCAGAAGGCATAGATCCAGAAGAGACAGCAACCAGAGCTCACAGTGCCTGAAAGAACAACAGTGTGGGTCAACCCTATGGTCAAACCCAAGATTCCCCAGTCACTCTCTTTGCACATTATTTCCCCATGCTTTTCCCTGAAGAATTGCCATCTGGAAAATCCACGTTACTTTTTCCTTTGAATGGTGTCTCTAGCTAGTACAAGAGGGCTTCAAAAAGTTCATGGGAAAATGAAATAAAAAATAATAGAACATTCTGAAACCCCCATCAGATGAAAGAATATAAATGCATGTGTGTGTGTGTGTGTTCTTTGCAAAGATTATAAAAGATTATTCATGATCTAGCAAATGAACATATGGATCTCCATATATGTCCTGTATATTGTGATGTATTTGATTCAGGTCTTATACCTGATGAGAGGATCTTGTTTGTGACAGTGCTTTCTAATATATAGGGTGCTAGATACCCTTGTCTCCAGGACTCCTGGTGTGGCGCTGTTGGGTCAACTCTGGATTTTGAAACACAAGGTCAGCAGTTCAAACCCAACAGCTGCTCCTTGGAAACCCTATACAGGGTCACTATGAGTTGAAATTGACTCAAGGGCACTTAACAACAACAAGAAGACAAGTATTTATGGTTGTCATTACTATTCTAATATCCTGAAATTTGCTGCACAATTAGCACCCTTGTTTTTATTGGTTAACTCCCAGTTTGTGCTAGTGTGTCACCAGGAGACTGCTGTATGCATTGCCACCCTCTACCACCAGGCCCTGGCCCACTGCCTGCCTGGCCAGCCCTTTCCTTGCAGGCAGAAACATTATCATGTCCACGCACCACATGGATGAGGCAGACCTCCTCAGGGACAGCTTGCCATCATTTCCCAGGGAAGGCTCTACTGCTCCGGCACCCCACTCTTCCTGAAGAACTGCTTTGGCATGGGCTTCTACCTCACCTTGGTGCGCAAGATGAAGAACATCCAGAGTTAAACAAGAGGTTGTGAGGTGCATGTCTGTCCAGGAAAGGAGCCCCACCTAGGTGGACTAGAGTGTGGCACTGCTATTCCTGGCATTTCTTCCCAAATCAGGCTCCAGCTGGTAGAACTCGCTTCTTGGTTTCTGGGATCTTTTGCAGATTTTGATAAATGGGCATTTGAACCCTTCTGCAGAGAAATTAATCCAACATGCAATCACTAGTTTTAAATAGCTTGAGAAGACTACACTCCAGTGGTGTAAATGGTCAATACGCTCAGCTACTAACCCAAAAGTTGGAGGGTTGAGTCTTCGCTCTGATAGAAATGTCTCTGAAGAAAGACCTGGTGATCTAATTCCAAAAAAACAGGCACTGAAAACCCTAAGGAGCGTAGTTCTACTCTGAGACATATGGGGGTGTCGTAGTTGGAATAGACTCAGAATACCCAGTTACCCCACACTGTAGGGTGGAGCACAGATGTGCTGTTTTAAGAAGAATCTTTATTTAATCTTCCTTTCTGTTCATTCCATCATTTATGTTTTCTAGTAAACCTGAGTTCCATTAGTAAAGAAAGTTAAAAAGAAAACCTCCTTATGGACTATATTGTTGTTGTTGTTGTCAGGTGCCATCGAGTTGGAACCGACTCATAGCGACCCCATGCACAGCAGAATGAAACAATGTCCAATCCTGGGCCAACCGCACTACCGCTGCCACACTTGTGGCCATCAATGATGCCACCTGGCCAATCCATCTCGTTAGGGGTCTTCCTCTTTTTCTCTGACCCTCCACCTTATCCATCATGACATCCTTCTCCAGCGACTGTTCTCTCCTGACAATATGTTCAAAGTATGAGAGACGAAGTTTAGCTATCTTGGCCTCCAAGGAGCACTCTGACTGCACTTCTTCCAAAACAGATCTATTGGTTCTTTTGGCAGTCCATGACACTTTTAGTATTCTCCTCCAACACCACAATTCAAAGGCATTAATTCTTCTACAGTCTTCCTTATTCACTGTCCAGCTTTCACATCCATATGAGGTTATTGAAAATACCATTGGCTTGGGGCAGGTGCACCTTAGTCCTCAAGCTGACATCTTTGCTCTCAATACTTTAAAAAGTTCCTGTGCAGCAGATTTGAAAACTCTTATGGACTATAGTCTAAAAAAATGACAAATGATATTTGAAAAATAAAAAATAACACACATTATTAGGGACCACCTCAGCATTAGGAGACCTGGGATCAGCTCTTGGCCTCAAGGTGGACAGCCTAGGCAAATATTTAATTCCTTGTATGTTTGTCCACAGGGCAGCGGTGAAGATAGTGAGAGAATGTGTTATTAATGTGCTGTGGCCTCCTTGAGAAAAGGCATTCCTCACTCAGCGTGTCATGATTGTTGTATTGTAGCATTATTTATGCTCCTGGCCTTTCTAATGTAAGGGTCCAGTTGCGGCTGGGGTTTACTATCCTGGGTAGATTTCCACAGGCTTGCATGCACCATGGGGAGGGAGGAACAGAACACTTGCACAGGCAAACCTATACCTGCCACATAAATAATGACGTGCCAAAGAGAACCTTAGAGGTCTACTCTTCTGTGCCGGACTCACATGCTCTCCAGGATAAAATCAAGTAGACACACCCTCAGACTGCTCAGATGAATTAGGAGATTAAAATTCAAGGGGGAAAAAATGCATTGCACATACTTGGCTGTGAGAAACAAACAGCATGGCAGGAACAACATCTGGTATCAGGGAGATGCTATCTGCCATGACGTGCCTCTTGCCAATCATCCTGTCGTGTGTTGTAGGAAACCTGCAGTTGCGCAGCTAAGGGTTCCTGCATCAGGTGTCCAGCCCGTGTTGATGTGCTAACTCCAGAACAAGTCTTGGACGGTAAGGGCCGGTACCAGCCATACCTCATTTCTGGCTACCATCTCTCAGTATTGTTGGGTGTGTCCTGTTGTGATGCAGTTTAATGAGAACAAAGAAAGAACTCTATGTACTTCTCAAGTCCAACAGCATGCAATTGCTTGGTTTTTCCTTTGAGTTTTCTTCTCCTCCTCCCTCCTCCAGTCCCAAAAGGAATTTTAAAAGTCACAGCCTCGTGGACCCTCTCTCTTTAACAAGGAATCCAGTCTTTGTTCACTCTGAGCCTTTGATCATATCAAGCCTCCATTTCTGCAGCCTTAGTGCCCCTGTCTTCAGATGGTATTCCTAAGTGGCAGGAGGGAGCCGCTTCTAAAGGTGGCTGTGGGGCCCTCTGGTGGAGAGACATTGCCGTACAGTCTTCAGTACACTTCACAGGAAGTCGGAGACTGCACCGCATGGAGGATATCTGTGTGATAGCACACATCCTATGCTCAGTGAGGGACTCTTGGTATAGCACTATAGGATAAGCACTGGGTTTCAAAGTTGGTTGGAACTGCAAGGCCGGCGGTTCAAATACACCAGCAGCTCCTCGAAAATTCTATACAGGGTTGCTATGAGTCAGAACTGATTTGATGACACTTAACAACAACAACAAGTCTTCTAAGGGGTCCCCACATTCACAGAGATGCCACACAGGGGCTATCATTGAAGAAGTGATCACTTGCCCTGAAGAATCCAAAGTCTTCACCAACCTCCATTCCTGATTAATGTACACCTGCCCCTCCTACTGGAGGATGAGGGGAGGAGGGGTTGTCTTTGCAAATGGAATACAACACATCCCATATTTCCAAGTAGAAGTGAAGCTTAACTTATGTACTGACCCGGCGGGGCCGGGGAACATCTGCTTATCAATGAAAAAGAACAATTCCTTATTTAGCACATAATTTTCCTAAATCTGAGGAATATATGAAGAAGCTTCAGAAAATTTGTGGAAAATGGAATGAAAAGATAATGGAAGTTTTGAAGCCCCTTTGTTCTACTGGAAGTCTGGGTAAAACAAGAAAACGAGACAGTATTTATGTACTGTGCTTAAAAATTGAGAGAAAAAGCTGAGAGCTTATTGTCAGTGTTTGTTTTCTGACCTTCTCTTGGCGCGGACAGACTGGGATCAGTATGAAAACATCTTTTAGAACAGCATTCCTGTGTGGCTGCTTTCTTTCCTCAGACTGCTTCAAGTGTCTCTCTCTCTCTGTTTTCTGAATATTTGCACTGGGAGAAATCTTAGTAAAAACATGTTTTGATAAGGAAATAAACTGGATATTAGTATGTTTGATGACCATGGCCCACCAAAATCAAGTAGGAAAGCAGGGCCTGCTTGGCTGAGATGATTTGTCTTTTTTTTCAGTTTATTGTGGTAAAATATATATAACAAAACATATGCTATTTTAACCTACAATTCAGTGTCATTAATTACATTCAGGAGTCCTGGTACAGTGCTGTGGACTAATGCAAAGACGTTTCAACTGCAAGGTTGATGGTTCAAGCTCACTAGCTGCTCCTTGGAAACCCTATACAGGGTCGCTATGAGTCAGAACCGACTCCATGGCACATCACAACAACAATTACATTCAGGGTTGTACATCCATCACCATCATCTAGTTCTCAAACTTTTTCATCAAGAGGTGGTTTTTCTTTAAAAATCTCACTTCATTTCTAAATCATTTGCTTTCTTTGTATAAAATTAGGAATGTGGTACATCCCTATGCTATACAAATAGAAGTAGAGTAAATAGTTGTGCCCCAAGTAAGGGAGGGAAGATTATTTTAATCCTCAATTAGGTCCGTGAAAGGCTCACACCCCCACATACCACACACACTCACAGACCTCTCGCCAGACGCTGAGAGTCCTCCTGACCTGGAAAGGCTGACACACACGTCGAAGACACAATTCCTGGGAATCCAGCAGCTTCAGGTTCAATTTCCTTCCTCAGAGAACAATGAACTTAACCCCTAGAGAGCGATCAGGGCAGAGCTACTTCCTCACGCAAAGATCTCCTCAGCTTCTGTATGAAGTCATACCAGAGCTAAAGACAATTGAGTCCAATTCATAGGTTTGACATAAAACAAGCCTTCCAACCCAACTAAGCAGAAGGATTTGGGTCAAAGACTATGAAATAGGTCATTTTAAAAACAAAGAAGGAAAAGACAAATAACAAAAACACTGGGTGATTTTAATTCTCCAAGAGAACAACTTGCGGAAGAGCCCAAGAAGTTCCTAGAACCCCTTTTCCTTTGACCTACCTCTCAAGAGAATGTACTAGGAAACTGGCTCTTCAAATACATGCTTTAAATTTTTTTTCAATTAGAAATGAATAATTTTAATTTATCTTTTTTTTTTATTTAAAGTAATATGCTGTGTACAAAAGTCAACTTTTAATGTAGTAGGACATCAAGAAAGAACTTGATACTTGCCACTTCCCTCTGGCCCCTTCTACAAACCCTACCCCATCCCTCTGGCCATTCTCCACAGTTCCTCAGCAACTTTCAGAATTTCCTGGGCCCTGGATATTAAGTTTTGCTTTGTTTAAGAAGGCAGATGTAATCCAAAGGAAAATGGTACAGTTCTCCAAAAAAGTTAGACCGGGGATGGGTCTGGGATTTAGGAAAAGTAGTTCTCACTTGACCACTCGATCTAAGCATGTGTCTCAGACCAGGAAAATGAAGACAACTTTGATGTAACCCTCGGGCTTGTGGTGAATGAGAATGGGCAACAAGAAATGATGAAGAGCTTTCTTACCTAAGATGATGGATATTCATAAGAACAATGGCAGCTGGTGGCACAAACAGTTAAGTGCTGGACTACTAACTGATAGATCGGTGATGGAATCCATCCAGAGGCTCCTAGTGATCTGCTTCCAAAAGGTCACAATCTTGAAAACCCTATAAAGAAGTTCTACTCTACACACATGAGGTCGCCGTGAGTCCGAATTTACTCAATGGTAACTACCAACATCAACAACACCTATGTATGAGGCATCATTCCAAGTGCTCCATGTGTATTCAAACCTCACAAACAATTGCAAGTGGGTACTTTCATTTGCTCCTTTTCACAGATGAGGAGACTAGAATTAACCTGCCCGATGTAGCATGAGCTTGCCAGGAACAGAACAAGTGATTGAAAAAGGAGGAAGCTGGCACAAGGATGTTGCATGACTTTCGTAGGGTTGCATAGTCAGTAGTGGAGTGTTTTGACTTCCATCTCCATGAACCTCTCGGGTTGACAGTACTCCAAAGGAGTCATTGCTGGGTATCTAGGTGTCCCTCCACCAAATAGGACGTGAAATAAAGTAGGGTACCTACATAGACAGTTAGAGTCTAGAAAACAAAATTGGCATCAGTCCTATTTTTCTTGTCCTAGGAGATGTAAACGAGCTGATAAAACTGGTTCATCATCACGTTCCAGAGGCAAAGCTGGTGGAATGCATTGGTCAAGAACTTATCTTTCTTCTTCCCAGTAAATATTTCAAGCAGAGAGCATATGCCAGCCTTTTTAGGGAGCTGGAGGAGACACTAGCTGACCTGGGACTCAGCAGTTTTGGAATTTCAGACACTCCCCTGGAAGAGGTAAGGCAGAGATCCCCAGCTGGTTTCTCTCAGGTGCCAAAAGAGATGGCTTGGTTTAAAAGCTGAACACTCAAGGAAAGTAGTGTAAAAGCAAAAAGTCATAATTCCCCACCCAAATATGGCAACTATCTTCATTTTTGGCATTCCTCCCTCTGCCTTTGTTTACACACATACATGGTTTATGTAGTTGAGCTCACAGTGTGCATACATTTTTTTTTTTTTTAATTTCTAGAAGCCTATATTCTTAGATAAAAGAACTCTTGATGACCTAGTGGTTAAGTGCTCAACCGCTAACCTAAAGGTCTTCAGTTTGAACCTCCTAGCTGATCTGAGGGTGAAAGATGTGGCCATCTGCCTCTGTACAGATTGATGGCTTTGGAAGCCCTATGTGGCAGTTCTACTCTGTTCTGTTGGGTTATTATGAGTTGGAATGGACTTGATAATAATGGTCTTTATTGGGGGTGTGTATTTTGTGTTTGTTTTGTTTTTTGATGTTGCCAGATTGAATCATATGGATTTTCTTCCCATTATGAAGCAATACACAACAAAACTGAGCTTGAGTTCAATTTTTCTGAGAGTGGGAATTCCTAAACTAAATTCCTTTTCTTTTCTCCAAATATTTTTCTGAAGGTCACGGAGGATTCTGAGTCAGGACCTGTGTTTGTAGGTATGGCGCTGAGTGTGTAGTTTGTACCCTTATGCACCCCCAAACTCTTATTTAGAAAGCCTAGTACACATTCATGAAACATTAAACAGGAGATTATTCCTCTATCTGTTCAGCTCTGACTTGGAATAACAGGGATTAATCATTCTTGGATTCTTTGAATAACAATGGAATGACAAAATGAGTTATGTCTGGGTGGGAACACTTTTGATGAAGCAGGATTCTTGTGGATGGATCAGGATTCTTATGGATGTGTAGCTTCCCATCCACAAATACCTCATCCCATTTCCCTGCTTCTTGTTTTTACCACATTCTCATCCTCTTTTCTCATCTTCACCAGGCTCTCTACTCCCCTCTGCCCACCTCTGAGAAAGGAAGGTCTGGTAGGGTCTTTAAAAACAATTGTTATTGTTTCTAAGTGCTCTTGAGTCAGTTCCAACGTATAGGGACCTTGTGTAGAGTTTCTGAGGCTATAAATTTGCAGGAACAGAAAGCCTCATTTTTATCCCATGGAGAAGTTGGTGGGCTCGAACCACCAATCTTGTGGTTTGTAGTTCAGTGCTTATCCTACAGAGCCACTGTGATCCCCATAAAGATGATGGTGATATTAAATATAACCCAGATACCATCTACAGTCTCCTGGTCATTTGATATAGAGACAAAATCATTTTGAACCCCTATTTAGTACATTTGTTGGCATTTGAAACCATAGGGACATGTGGCTTCTGGGAGTCTTTCATCTACATGTGTCAATCTTGCCCCTCTCATGGTTTCTACCAAAACTCCATAGTCTTACAATGAACTCATGAGTTCAGAAGACTGTCTTGTGGAGGGTGGGGGTGACCTGTAAGAACTCAAATCATTTCTGAGAGTACAATAGGCATTCACCCACACAGCTCAAATCCTCTCCTGGACTCCTCTCTCCGTTTTCTGGTTGTAGTTACAGGGAAAGCTCTGTTGCTGCCTTGGGGTCCTGACACCACTCATGCCCACTAATTACCTCCTTCTACTCAGAGTGGCATATCACTGAGCAAAGACTCTATCCTCATTAGGGGGACGCTGGTGCCAAGATCAGAAAGATAACATCGTGTTCATTGTTACATAAGTGATCCTAGTTCTACCCAGAATTACCACTGAATGGTTAAATATACTAGCCCAAACATTCTCCAGTCCACCAGCTAAGTTATGTAGTAGTCAAGAGAAGTGGCCATCCCGGCAGAGTGAGGGCTGGAGAATAGGGCAGTCTCTGGAGAAGGGTACTAACCACAGGAAAGAACCACAGGTGTTCTTTTCAGCCTTACAGATACAGGCATTTAATTCTCTCAGCTCACCCAAAGGTACTTACATAATGAAGACGAAAATGAAAATATGCTGATTTATATCCAAAGCTATGCTAGTTGTGGGTGCTAACTGAAAAGTTGGCAGTTTAAACCCACCCAGTGGATCCACAGAAGAAAAGATCTGTTTTCATAAAGATTATAGCCTAAGACACCCTATGGGGGCAGCTCTACTTTGTCGCATGAGATCTCTATGAGTCAGAATCTATTCAATAGCACACAACAGCAACATGCTGAAATCAAGAATTTGGGCCATTTTCTACACAAATACTCCTTCTTACTAAGGAGATTCACTCAAGAGAATCAATTACACATCAGAAGACTATTTAGTCAACATCAACCCAGAATAAGATGTTCCAAAGAGTCTCCAAGGGTGGTGGTTCAGAGTGCAAGAATGCAATGCAGCCTCTAGAATGAGGCAGACCAAACAGAAATAAAGCTACATAATTTGCTGAGTGGCTTTGGCTCAACCACTTAACTTCTTTGTCTTTCAGTTTCCTTAAGTACAAAACAGAGATAATAATAGTATCTGCCTTTCAGAGTTGTTGAAAAAACTAAGTGAGTTAATGCCTGTCAAATTCTTTTTTTTTTTTTTTCTTAAATGTTTTTTTGTTAATTGTGTGATAGTTTACATGGGAGAACATTAGTTTTACATTCATTCTATCATTGCCATGGCTACAATCCCCTCCATGCACCAACAGTTGACAGCATTTACCTCTATTCACTTTAACCACTGCATTCCTCCCTGGGTCTCCTGCCACCCCATCTTTCGTCTGCCAACCTCCCTCCAGTTGTATATTGTCTGCCCCATCACCCATGTCAATGTGTGTCTACCCTCTAGTGCATGAATCATTTCCTCCTTCCCCCAAAACTCTTCCCCCCCCCCACTTCTTTTTGATGTACAAAAGAAACAAAAACAAAAAAGCATGCAGGAATATGTAATCATTTAAACAACCAAAGGGCACATTTGGAAAGCTAGTCTCCTGGCCACCAGCACACAGTGTTTCTCTTTCCATGAGTCTAGAGTCCTCAACTGCTCAATCTCTCCATGCTATCACCTCTGCCTCCATCTCTGGTGTCCTTGCTTCTCTGGCTAGGGTCCCATGTTCCACTCATGCTCTTCTCTCTTGATAGTCCTAGGGTCCTCTCTTCCTGGAATGTAAGATTAACTACTCCCCCTGTTTGTTAGAAAACTTCTACCTTTACAGTTTTGACTATTGCAAATAGGTATGATAACAATTACTCATTATTGAATCAAATGAATCTTATCCCCATCTCCACAACCGTCTAGACATGAGGAAAACTATTCAGTGGGGATTCTACCTTCCCCTACACACTTTGAAACTAAACTCCCTCTTGAAAACTTATAAGCCAGTCACTTCATGCCTTTATAATTTGCACCCCCTCCCCTATTTTAGGTAACCAGTGTCTAAGTTGCTTGTCCATATCAACTCTGTATCCTCTGTACAGAGGGGATAGGTTTGATCCTTGATGTGAAGACTCCTTCCCTGTTGGTTGGTATTTTGAGCTACTACATCCATAAGTATAGGTCAAGTTCATCAAATTGTTGCAATTTACACTTGTTTCCTTTATCAAATTTCTTTATCTTCCTCTAGTCAAGTTCTGATCATCACACCATCAAAGCTAGGTCAAATGGGTACTATCTGCAAGTTTGGGCGTTCTTGTGCATCTCCCCTCACTTCATATCAGCTGGACGTTTCACTCTCATCTCTAACCCTCTGTGGTTAGGACCTTGTCCATGGGCTCATGAATCCCCAGGTCTCACCACACTTCGGACCAACCAGCTCTTCCTCTTCTCTCTCTCATCTCAAGGTCAACAAGAGTCTATGGAACATGGTTGAACTCAGCCCACATCTTCATTGCTGCCTTTCCCCCACTTCCACTCACCAGTAAATCAATGTGGTCCCTAACAAGCTTACATGCCTGTTCATTTGTTTGTTCCCTTTGAGTTTCAGTCATGGAGAGGGGTTTGTCCTGAAGGGACATGATTGCTTGCCTTGATGGCTCCCCAGAGAACAGCTTACTTGTTCTTGTAGTAGTAGCCAGTCAGATTGCCATTTTTGTTTTGGATTTTTACTGCTGGTCTTCTCTTCCTCTAGCCGCTCTGGGACAAAGCTTCTTTCTATGTATTTTTGTTGCTGTTCAGTGCCATCAAGTGGGTTCCAACTCAAAGTAACCCTGTATGGGGTTTCTGAGGAGCAGCTGGTTGTTTTGAACTGCTGATCTTGTGGTTCAAAGTCCAGTGCTGATCTTACATTCTTACCAAGAATGTACGTACTAGGCTTCACCAAATTAAGAAAATGAGTACTAGTGAATATGCTAATATTGTTTCTTTGATTTTTACAGCGAAAGCTAAAGTCATGTTTCATTCATTTTTAAGGTCACGGTCCATTTTTTCTTTTGATGTTTTTCATTCAGAATTAAAAAGAGAGAAAGCAAGAACTGTAGTCCAGACAGCAGTGAATAATGTCCTTGTTCTTTGAACTGCCTTTTAACCACTGCCTGAACATTGGCCTACCTTCAGAGTCTTCATGTTACCAGAGCATTGCATTTTCCTCTATACTGCCTGCCTATACTATTTTGTTCACACAATTTCCCCTGCCTATAACATTCCCCAAAAGACAGATTTGCTTCACCTGAGCCTAGTTATGAGGCTGCAGGATAAGTGTTTAAAAGACTGTGTGTGTGTTTGTGTGTTTTTTTGTGTGTTTACTATCACACATCACAGCCCATGTTCCCACATCTACTTGACTTGTTCAGGAGAACTTCTGCGAGGACTGTGAGCCAATTGCTGCCTGGCTCATCCATGCTAGACAGAATGAGAAACACTTACTCAATGGAGTAAGATTTCCTACAGATTGTTCTCCCAGCAACTTTCATGTCATTGGCTCTGATGCTATCTATCATTGTCCCTCCTTTTGGTGAATACCCCGCTTTGACCCTTCACCCCTGGATATATTGGCAGCAGTACACCTTCTTCAGGTACATAGACTTGTCCCCAGAGATCATCAGCACCTTTTGGACTCCAGGACTCCCACTCCTCAGGACATTCACCAGAAAGGTAGAGGTCCTCAGAAAGGAAGTTAATATGCTTTCCACACCCTGGGAAGGTGATCCTCAGTGGACAGCCAGAATTGTTTGAGGTTGAGAAACGAAAGTAAAATGCAGGGGAGTGGAATGAAGCTACGGCTTTAAGAGGCAAAGACAGGCTACGCCATTGAAGCACTGGGTGTGCTCTGGATAGCGACCTCATTCCCATTCTGTATTGTTTCTACAGTCCCAGTGCTGTATCTCATGCCTGAGACATGGCAGTCCTTCGATAAACATTTGTTGAGTTGCATATTGACTACTTATGTTCACTCTTAGTCACATATCCATTGAGTAAGCGTTTCTCATTCTGTCTAGCATGGATGAGCCAGGCAGCGATTGGCTCGCGGTCCTTGCAGAAGTTCTCCTGAACAAGTCAAGCTTTGGCAACTGCTGCCTGAAGGAAAGGCGGCTGCCATAAGTTCCTGATCATTCCTGCCCCCTGGGATCCCAGAGACCCTGCTAGGTTGGAGAGGCCCCAGCACAACCCTGCTTTGTATTACACGAATCACTTCCACATCTATAGCAGCTCTTTCTCAGTTTCTTATTCCACAGTCA